AAAATTAAATAAAATTAAATAAGGTCATAAAATTAGTAGGATGTAGACATGGTGGTGTGGAAGTTCAATTCCATGGCTACTAGCCTCCATTCCTCAACATATGAAAATTTCATAGAGTACAGATTTAAACAGAGTGGAGATGGATAAAGGGCTGAGCTAGGAACCAAGGCACGACACTGGAAGAATCTCTCTGCACAAAAAACCAAGGGACTATTTGAAAAGAATGGGATTCCAGAAACAACAAAACAATACAAGCTAATTCAGAGAGAGATGGCTGTACCCAGCACTAGGGCATGTCAGCATGTGGGTTGGGAGACACTTCTTTGGGTTAGCTTTCATGATTGAAAGCACAGAAGAGATGTTGCTGGGTCACACACAGAATACAGAGATGTGACTGCTCTCCTCCATTGAGCTACACCATAAAATCATGCTGTGGGGCAAAGGGGATGGGGGTGAGGAAACTATTTTGGAGAACAGACTTGAGAAACAGGGTGACCATGAGACAGGATACCTGATGGGTAATGTCACAGCACTTCAGCTGGCACCATCTTGGCCAAGTAGGAGATAGAAGAGGTGGTAAGGGGAACAGCCAGTTCTACCAGCTAAATTTGGAAACGATGTGTGAGCAACCCACAGGGTGAGTGAGGCTCCTGTGTCTCTAACACCCACAGGTGGTTTCTCCTGATTGAGTCACCGAGAGCAAGGGCCACCACAAGCTCCCCATAGGTGAGACCCTATGGAGCAGGTCCAGGCACTTACTTTCCTTGTGAAAAATATCTCCACGGTTTCCAGACCCTGACAACCCTCCCGTGAATTGTAAGGTTTGTCCATTGCTAGGAAGAAACTAATATTGAATTGCAATGATCCTAAGATAAATAGGAAAGCTGCTGGGTCAGGAAAAGTGCGAGTCTGGCTCCATTCATGCTGGTCTGGGCTGGCTCTGCCAACTAGATTGGAAGGCATGCGGAGCTGCCAGTCTCACACCGAACAGGAGGGAACACTGTAAGGATAGGCTGCATTTAGACACATCCCAGCAGACACGTGGTTGATTTATAGTCAGTCTTGCTTCAAAAATTTCCATTATTTTTTCTGCAAAAGATATAAACAGCTCATCCAGGCAGTAAACACCCATAGCCACAAAGACTCAGTCTAGACTCGTGGGGGTTTTCCTAAGGTGCTGCAATTTCCTTTGACTTCATTATATCCTCTGGTACTAACGGGAAATATGGGAGTGTCACATCCTATAAGCTCACATATATATATATGATATATTATATATAATATAATATGTACCATATTACAGGTAATATACTATATAAAATACAATATGTAGTAAATTATACATTATTTGCTATATAATAATATATGATGTATTATCCATAGGTATAATTAAGCATTATATATAAATGAATAAGTATTAATGATCAACAATCAATAATTTCTCAATAATTAATTCTTATAACTACTAAAATAATAAATACATTAATTATTGTAGCATTATAAAATATTTTTGCCTGAAAACATAATGATGTAACATAATATCTATGTTACATATAATATAAAAAATTATATATCATGTAATTATAGATCAGGTATATTATACAACATATAATATATATTCTATAAAGTTATATGTCCATTTTATTATATATACTTATATAGGAATACATATTATTATATTATATATCATCATGTGATATATAATTATGTATTAAAATTATATATCATTACATATGATTTATATACATTATTTACATATATAACTATATATAATTATACATGTAATTATACATAATATATGTAGCATATATACACATAAAAAATGTATACCTAATAAATAAATGTATAATATATATATAATGACATTTAAAATTTATGCATTCAATTTATACATATAGTTATATATCATGCACAATATATAATTTATATGACACATTATATCATGCAAGTATTATATATTATGCTAAATGTTATATACATAATAAATAATATATTCTATTATATTTTATGCATGCTATATATAAGATAAAATATATGAGTAATGCATCATACATTAACCATTGTATTATCTATAACAAATATATAGAACATATCAATTATTTATAACAAATATATGATATATTAATTATATTATGAAATACGATATAATATAATATATAATATAATTATACAAATTATTTTATATAACCATATATTTTTTATATATTGTATATAATACAATATACTTTATACATATACTTATATATATATACATAACACGATATGTACTAAATTTATATCACTACATATCACATGTAATATCTTATATTAAATCATATATTACATGTTATTTATACTATATATTTTATATTAAATATAATATGTACTTCAGAATATATATCAGTTCTGTAATATATCATATATTATAACTACACACATTTTATAATATTAATCTATTATTATTATGTAATTATATTACTCAATCCATAATACATCAATTAATGAATACTAATTAACACAATAAAATAATATAAGTATAATAATTATAAGACTGTAAAATATATTTTATTTTTTATACATATCACTAATATTAAATGCAAACATCCAGCTGCCCAAACAGGAATAATCCGGAGAATTAGCAGCACTCTAGTGTAAACTAAGCCAGGGAAATCTTAGTGTAGGATCAGAAGCAGCAGGGACAGAAAGCAGGGGTGGGTCCTGTGGGGTGGGGTGGCCACAGTGAGAGCTGTGTGTCCTACTATGAAGTGACAATTTTGAGAGTTTTGAGCAGGGTAGTGATATGACAATAGTTCTATCTCATCCTGGTCATAGCTTGGTGGACATTTAAGTCCAAGGAAAAACAGTTTCCTGATGTTTGTGCTGCTTTAGTTTCTCCAACAGCCCAGAACAGTCACACTTGAATTACTTTCCTGCCTTCCCTTCAAATCTTCAGAGGTCCTCCGTGCCAGCCCAGGTTTCTTGGCTAAGTGGGTACAGCTAGGGCCAGACAGGGATAGAAGTTAGGGAGTATGAGAAGATTCTAAGGAGAAGATTTGATGGTGGATGTCAGAGAATGTGACCATGACCCACATTTAAGAGTTCCCTGAGAGCGAAGTTTGGAATAGAACAAGTGGATTTCTTTAAGCGTTTAGCACTGATCCACATTATTGAAGGGGAAGACTTCCTTCTAGTATCAACGTCCAGGCTGTGTCTGACTTGTGCTGCAGAGTGATGAACTCACAAACCTGAAAGTCTTTGATAGCACCTTTGTCTGCTTCCTGCACACTGAGTGAGTCCGGAGACCTCCTTTGTGTTTCTGTTAATACAGTATGCAGATGATCAAGACCCAAGGTGAGTGTGTCACATAGCATAGCATCAAGAGCTTGCCTTCACACTTGGCTGCACAGTGTGCCTGGCTGCCTGACCTTTTTGTCATCTCCTGGGGCTCGTTTGCTGATGTGAGGAAGAGGGATGGCCAGTAAAGGACTAGTGTGAGGATTAAAAGATTACTCAGGAAATTGGAGCTCTTACAGCTTTATCAGAAACACAAGAAGCTGTCAGGAGTTGCCGCATAGTAAATATGTAAAATGCCTGAGATCAGGACTGGGCTTTGCCACAGATCAATGTAAATAGGACTTTGGTGTTAAGCTGTTCACTGAGTCAAGACAGCCACACCTCTGACTCAAGGCAGTCCAGAAGCCACCTTCACCATGACTCACCTTCTAGCCTGTGTGTTTCCTCACTATTGTTTGCTGCTGTGATTGCTGCTTTCGTTGCCCCAGGAGCCTAGACAAGCCACACCTGTATTGCCTCCCTGCCTCCTCTCCACAGCCTCCCAGGCCCTTCTTGCCAGCCCAGGTTTCTTGCTAAAGTGGGCACACCCGGGGTCAGAAGATAGTGATACTGCCTTGCTAATAATTAAAAGGTCTGGAGTCACAGACTGCCTCAGTGCCTACATATAGAGCTACAGTCATAACTTTGATCCCGGAGACAAGACCTCTTTGGACCAAGGTAATTTCTGCTGTTCAGAGCCTTGTGAGGGAAAACATTCTCTGCTTTCTGTCCAGCCCTGGGTGCTCCTGTGGCCTTCACTCAAGATACAAGGTACTGGAGAAATTAAGAGTTGCTTATAATTAGAGTGCTGCTTGTAATGATCTCATTCCCTGCCAAAAGGCAACTCTCAAGGGAGGCACTGAGGGTCCTGGCTACAGGAGGTGATCAATTGGTTGTCATTATAAGAGATTGTGTACTTATACCTGGTGCTATTAACCAGAATCTTATGTGCAAACATCCCTAAAGAGACAAACTTCTGATGGGGTTATGAATGGCTGCATGCAGAATCCTTGGCTGTGTCTCTCTGGAGAAAGAGTAAAGGAATACAGAAGTCAGAAGGGCGGGTTTGCTGCTAGATGCGCAGGATTTCTCAGTTTAAAAGCAGGGAAGTTTAAAAGCCAAGGGAAGAGCTAGAACAGAGATGAACAAGTACACCCTACTTGTCCTAAGCCTGGTGGTGATTCCGTGTAGAAATTCCTGTGATAATTAAACCTCCTCACCATCCAGATGTGATGGTGGATAGAACTTCAAAGTCACCATAGTCTGGAGACCAGTCAATAAAGGGATGGGAGCTTCCACTTAGGGATTGCTGTCCTTGAATTATGTTCTAAGTACATTTTAAATAGTAATCCGTATGCTACAAAGATGGCTCAGTGTTTAAGAGCCCTTGCTGCTACTGTGGAGGGTCAGGTTTCTAACCCTAGCAGTCACACTGGGCAACTTAACTGTCTGAGACTCTAGATCCAGAGGATCAGACTACCTCCTCTGAGCACTACAAACACAGATGGTACATATACATACAGGAAAGCAAAATACTCCTGCACATAAATACAACAGACAAGTCATTAAAACACTTTAACGTGAATATAGGGTGAGGATTTAGGGAAACTCTCACTAAAGAATTTCATAAGATTCTAGGAGCATCTAAGAGAAAAAAAATTTTTTTCCTTTTTCTTTCTCAGGCAATGATGGCTTTCCCTCCACAATCTGGTGTACGTTGTACTCCTCCAAAAAGTTCTAAGCCCAAGAATCTGGAAAAAGAGAGTAAGTGTAAATCACAAATCAATCTGGGCTATCTCTGTCTAATGTCACCAGGGATAATAGGGTTGAAGGGGCCTGCTTTACTTTCTTCACCACAAATCTACGTGCTCTGGCTAAACTGCTCAGAGGCATACACACTGAAATCTCAAGGCACGTCAGCTCTTTCCTTATTAGCTGTATTTAGAATTATCTGTTCATTTTGACTAAGATGGTAAAGAGAAAAATTAAACAACATACTTATGCTTGCTTAATAGTTGGTTACTGGTGCCATGTAGAGACTTTATAAACCAGGAAAGAATAATTCCACAAGAACTGGCAAATACTGAACATGTCTTGCAACTAGAAACGTATTCAATCTTTTCTGTGCCTTGATCCATAAACCAGGATGCCTTATTTCCCTTTCCTTTGTTTTATGGCCATATCTTCTCAAAGCAATACTTATCACAGAAATTCAGAATGCATTATTATTAGAATGGACCACAAACCTTAAAGCTAATTATACCCACACCTGTGTCTTGTGTTTTTCTGTTATCTGGCAGTTCAGGAATTTCCCAGGACCTACAGAGTTCATGACTCCCAAAAGATGGTGTGGGTCCTGACTGGAAATTCTTTAACAGCGGTTCCTGCTAGCAACAATGTCAAGCCTGGTAGGTGGCATGTCATGACGCAGGTGAAGAGCCATCAGTTCCACTGGGAGTGGACATGAGCCTGCACAAACCTTGTGCTGCTCTTTCCCTGGTCACCAATCTTATAGTTCAGAGAAAAGTTGGTTCTGCTTCTATGTACAGGAAAGCCTATACATAGAAATGACAGTGCAGGGAGCCAGGAATTCCCCTCATGAAAGCATCTTCAAATAGGACAGGTTTGTGTTCCCACACTCACTGTTTCTTTTTAGAATGATGTTCCTCTAAATCCCAACAGGCATCTATCCATGTTTATAGAGTCAGACTCTCTCACCTCTCCACTGTCGAGCTTACACACTCCTCTCTCTTGGCATCTCCTCTTCTAATAATGGTGAAATGTTCCTTCTTCTCATCAAAAGGCAATCCATCTCAGCCTTGTCTCAGTTCTTTAAAAACTTCCATATTTTACTTAACTCCTCTCTTTACCTTGTCTACTCCACACAGACCTCTTAGATCAAATCCCCAGTCTCGATACTAAATCTACCTCTTGATTCCCACATCTCTCCCTACCACCACTTGTTTTAGTCAGATTTTCATAGTAGGACAGACTAAGCTCAACACCACCTACATAATTTTAAGACTATGTGAAGGTTGATGGTTTGGGTCTATAATTTCAGAGTTCTCAGAGCTGTCTGCTGGTTCCATTACTTGTTTAGGTCCGTGTAAAGAGGGACACATGGTATGGTAGGGAAGAACTACTCACCTCACAGTGGACAGAAAGTAGGAGGAAGGTTCCAATCTTTTCCTTTAAAGAAACATCAACAGTGGCCAGTTAGGTCCTGTGTCCAATAACTCATTCAACTATGAACTCACTAAGGGATGATGAGGTTAGAACTCTCATGATCTGATCACATCTCAATAGTGCCACCAGATGGGGTTCAAACCTTCAGTACACAAGATTTTGAGGAATTATTTCATATTCAAAGCACAACAATAATCTGCTTTCTGTGACAATCATAGACAAATCTCAATGGAAAGTTGTTTATACAACTTGCCCTCTTTGATTCTTGGGCACATTTTTATCATAATAGCCTGCCTCAAAGTGTTAATTTATATATATTTATAGAGTATTCTGTGTGCATATGTACTACACAGAACTTTCTATCTGGAAGGATATACTCCAAATTGTTAATACTGGATACTCTTCCTTAGGGAATAGAGTTTGCTGGTCTTCCTTCCTTCTTTGATGTATACACCTGTATATACTTTAAATATATAACTACCATATGTTATTTCCATAGTCTTTATTAAACAATTTAAAATCATCTTTTAAATTTGTTGCAGAATATGTACACTCATTTTCAAGAAGAGAAAGATAATAATAAATACCATATGATCTCCTTCCTTAAATAGAATTACTATTAACACTTCTTTTCTATAAATAATATTGTACACATAGTATTAATACACACAGTATTACATGCTGTAATAATTTCAAATAAACTGTTTTATAAACTCTTTCTTTAATTTCATGATGAATCATATGTGTTATTTTTCCCCAAAGATATCACTATATATATGAGTAATATAATCCTTATATAGGATTTTAAAAAGAAAATTGACATCTAGATTTTCCCTCTCATTTCCTTCAGTTCATCTTTCCAAGGCAACCTTTAGCACCCACACCTACAGAACACACCTCTGTTCTTGAATAACTTGGAAAATGATGGGTAACTTAGTCTTGAACAGCCTTTACCTTCCCTTTCTGTTTGTGCGTGTAACTCTCTTCTCTTTTGGACTTCTTTGTTTCATATTCTCTTGGAGGTATCTGAATGATGGGGCTCCTCAAAGCTCTATCTGCAGTAATACAATCTCTGTGAAGAGATGGCAAGTCATCTTTCTTTAGTACGTGACTTCTATGCTCATCAATTTGCCACTTATGTTCCCAACAGAGACCTCTGAATGTTTTACTCCTGTCCTTTCCAAAATCTTTTGTTTTGTGTGCCCTCAAAACGAACTGTGGATCTATCTTCTGAAAGTTGCTGAGAAGATCCATTAATGTCACTACCACTCAGTTTGTTCACTCACTTCACAAGATCAGGAGGTACCCTTGATGATTCAGAGATGATTCAACCCAGTACAGACTGGTGATTCTGTGGACAACATGCCTCATTTCTGAGACACAATCTCCCACAACCTGGGCCTCCATTGTCACTCCCTCACTGCCCTCCTTACCATTTCATTTGGGTAGTTCCATCCATTCTCTACATAGCATAATCATGAACATTCCCCTTAATACATAAGATTGAATATGGTTATGTCCTTGTGTCTGTTAATGGAGAGCACAGGAGGAGGGGATGAGGCCTAAGTGCATCATTCTGCTTTCAGGTCCTTGAACACAGAAGCTCTTTTGTGTGCAAGGCACTTCCTTTACATGCTGCATTCCTTCTCCAACCCCTCCACTGCCCAGTTTCCGTCTTTTCATTATGAGTGTTCTCTTTCTTAGCCTTACTATCTGGACTTGAAATCTACCACTTCTGCAAAGATGTATTCTAAATCTGGCCTCACTCTTGTTTTTCCAGGCTTTGATCACTTCCCCCCAATCAGTTTTTGGTAATTTTTCTTTTTACATTTCTTTCTCTTTTCTCGATAGTTTATAGATTTTATAGAAAATGATGATGACTGTCTTGCCCTATGTCAAATCTCCAATGCCCACATAGTGCTGTGTCTTACATGGGTAGGTATGAAGTAGTTGTTGAATGGATTTGTTTTCCTGTCCTCTGTTAAGAAATAGATACAGAATACTCAGACTCTTAGGAATCTCAGCCTAAATTATTAAATAGTTAAATTCAACCAAGAATGAAAGAATTCTCAGACAATGAGAACTTAAATAACACAGTGGTATATTTCTTCTGTATATAAAAACCAGTGGTCCAGCCCAGGCTGGGTTCCCATGTTGGTTTCATGATGCCACCAGAGGCCAAGAATTCTACCTTTCTGCCCGAGCAACCTCAAATTTACCTAAGCTATCATTTAAGTGTTTCACGTAGATAACAGGATGACCCTAAATGTGACAGACAAAGTCTTTTGAGGTGAGTCTAGTCTTAAGGAGCAATTTTAGAAACCCTACAGCATACTTCCTCTCATATCTCATGGGCCACCTAAGTGCATGGCTATATTACTATTTTTAGCTGCAAGGATAATAAGATTTTATTTTATTTTTGGGAAACAATGGACCCAGGTGACAACTGAGGTTCTGGCATGAAGAATAAAAACATCTCAGGAGAGCAATCTCAGGAGAATCACTGTTGTGTGGCTAACGTGGGAAGCTTTGGTGGAGAAAGATTCTCACCATTCCTGATTTGGAGGGCTATCCGGGTGGAAGGTGAAAGACTGGATTTATCTGTGCTTGAAGTCTGACATCTTCCCAATTTCCCTTGTGTTTCCAGTCATTCTTACCTTGATAGCATGTAGAGATACGGAATTCCAAGACGAAGAGAAAGGTAATCTAGTTTTCCTGGGAATCAAGAGCAGAAGTCTCTGCCTCTTCTGTGCTGAGATTGAGGGCAAGCCAACTTTGCAGCTTAAGGTGAGTGGATCCAGTCACTGATTGAAGTAAATCGGGAAGCCTTCTGTCTAGGGCTACTTATCAGTTGCAGTACTATAGTATAGTATAGTATAGTATAGTATAGTATAGTATAGTATAGTATAGTATAGTATAGTATAGTATAGTATAACAGTATAGCCATGCAAGCTTGTAGCAGTCACAGGAAGGAAGAAACTTTCACCTGTCTAGTTCCCAAATAAGTAACAGTGCTGCTGAACAGATAATAGATATAGCCTTTTTTAAACCCCAGGACAAATATCCTGTGAAATCAGAGCATTAAAGCCATGGAATTGTTTCTGCAAAGTGAAGGAAAGGTGGCTTCTCCATTCTTGGTCCTGGATAACTTTCTCTCAGACATCCACAGAGGTGCTAATATGCCACAGTCAAGCAAAGGATTTCTAATCTGGATTTTTCATAGTACATGTTCATATCAGTGTACTAAAAGAAAAGATTTATAATTAAAACCCAAATCCCTTACTAATGATAGAAATTATAATGCATAAATTCACTCAGAGGTTGGGACTCTAGGCTGGCTGGCATGAAGCTGTAGATGGATGCACACCAGGATGCATACCCACCCTTACCCCATTCTATTCTAGGGAACACAATGCCTCAAAGAGTCAGTAACTCTCTATATCACAGGATCTTTAGAGAAAGACAGGTTATTGTAAATTAATGGGTGCCTGTTTTGATAGCTTGTTATTTTTTCATCTGTCTGCATCCCTAATCCCTATCCCTCCTATTGGATAACAGTTACTCCCTTGATATGTATCCACTGCTCAGTCACTGTAGCGCTTTTCACTGGTACTCCTCATTAACCAGCCTCTTTTTTTCCCCTAGGATGCAGACATCATGAATTTGTACAATGACAAAAAAGCCCAGAAAGCCTTTCTCTTCTATCATCGCACAGAGGGCTCCACTTCTGTCTTTCAGTCAGTCTTCTATCCTGGCTGGTTTATAGCCACCTCTTCCACAGCAAGACAGACAATCATCCTCACACAGCAGAGGGGTGAAGCTAATAACACTAACTTCTACTTGGAGTCTGAGACTTAGATACAGCATGAACCATATGTGGCCAGTTCCAGGCTAAAGAATCAAACTGTTGAGAATCTTTTACTTGGAAACATAGCAAGGCATCTTAGAAGACCACCAAGCCATCTCTTCTCCAGACATCTATGTCCAAAATGCCATTCGTTTCAACATTATTCCAGCATGAGGTCCAAGAATCACTTTTATCCTTTTCTGATCTTGTCCACCATCCATTCAGCACCAAGTCCAGTGAAGTCACAGTCGTCTTATACGCAAGTCTTCCTTCCTGTTCTCACAGGAGGCAATGGAGCAGAGATGTGGATTCCAAATCATCAATGCAAGATTCTTCCTTCTTCACTTTATGTATGCTCAAGTAAAGTATTATGTATATTTAAATGGATGATAAATAACTAAAAGATAAATCTCAAGGATGAGGCAATATAAAAGAACATTTTCTATGCCTTGGTAATTGAGATAGATTCAGAATATCATCAGTTAATAATTTGACACACAATGTATATTTGCATTATGGTGGCTTTTAACCAAAGTTAATATAAAATGAATCCAAATTTCAAAGAGTCATTCATAGCAATTAGAATTTCAAACTAATTATACTGTTTGTATTTTACTTTGTAAAGTGATTCGAAATTGAAGGGTCAACTCAGATATTTTCTTGTGTTGTCTTGTGTTGTGTTTTCTTGTGTTGGAATTTTGGGAATGTTTTTGTGGATAGTTTTAAGTCAGTTGTTTATTTTGTGAGAATGATGTGGTTTGAATTAGAATGACTCTGTAGACTCATACTTGAATGGTTAGTTATCAGGGAGTGGAATGTTTGAGAGGCTTACAAGGCTTAGGAGCTGTGGCCTTGTTGCACAGGTATGGTCTTGTTGGAGGGAGTGTGTCACTGGGAGTGGGCTTTGAGGTTTTAAAAGCCCATGCCAGGCCCAGAGTCTTTCTCTCTGCCTGTGGATCAGTATTTGCAATCCTCAGCCACTTCTTCAGTATCATGTCTGCCTGTGTGCCACCGTCCTGCCTGCCATGATGATCGTTAATGGATTCAACTTCTGAAACTGTAAGCAAGCTTTCAGCTAAATGCTTCCTCTTATAAAAGTTGCTGTCATCATGGTATCTCTTAACAGCAATAGAACAATGATTGAGGAAGAGGGTTACTTTAGCTAAAAGCCACATGGATTGCAATAGACTATGAGATCCTGACCACAAACATAAGTATGATAACTTCCCCTCCTTCAGACCTCACTCATGCAAGGCAGCAATTAGGGCGTGCAATGCTGCGAACCCACTGCTGAGTTAAAAATTCTTGGCCAGGTGAAATGTTTCAATACCTGTCCTAGAATTATCTCCTGTAATGTTACCACCAGTGATTCCATTTGGGATATTCTTTGAATTCTGCCTTCAGCTCGCTTTCCTCTTAGTCCTGTCACTTCCATGCAATAAGCTTCAAGAAGGTATTGTATGACAGCTTGCTATCTGGCTTAGTCAAACCAGTCACTTTGGTTATCTCTTCCTGGTTCCTAGGACATCTGGGGAAGGATGGTTACAGGCTCTGCTTGGTACTCACACATGAAGAAAAATGAAGAACCCTCGGCCAGTGTACATGTGAGGGGGTCAAGGATAGCTACTCTTTCCTATCCCTCACCAAGACAATTCTGCATCATGCTCTGTGCTGTTCCTCAGAAGGTCTTAGCAGGACTAAGACAGAGTCACACACTTAAGAACTTTTCCATGCATTTATCTTCCTCATTTACCTTCTTCAGTTCCCTAGCTCCAACACTTGTTCCCTGGAGTCAGTTTTCATTGCCACACATGCATGCCTGTATCTTAGGATCTGCCCTAGGAAAACAGATTCTACCCAAGTAAACATCTCTTCTCTACTGTTCACTGTATTGCATTTCTTCCCTCTGTATTTCTGTCAATGCCTTCACATGTGACTCTGACATGCACATCACTGCATAGCCTTCCTCCTTTTTCTGAGACAGATATTATATGCGTAACCCTAGTTGTCTTGGAACTTGATCTGTAGACCAGGCTGGACTTGAACTAAGAGATTTGTCTGCCTCTGCTCCCCAAGTGTTGGGATTAAAGGTGTACACCACTATGCCTGGCTGTTATGTCTGAAGTATTTGGAGACCACACTTCATTTCTACAGCCAAAGGCAACACTTTCTATTCTTTAAAATCATAACAATTTTACTTTCTTGTGGAAATTTTCTTTTGTTTGGCTTTGTACTGTTTTTAACTGCTGCATAACAATTCCTCAAGAAAGGTTGCTGCATACTGTGCGTCTTGCATCAATACCAAGGTATGTTGACAAGATCTTACATTGCAATGGCAGGGGCAACATTCACCTCCAAGAAATGTCTAAGTGTGTACTAAACTGCTCAAGGAGCACGGAACTTATAGGCTAGAAAGCCTGCAGAGTAGCATCTCACTGCATTCCCTTTTTTCTTTTCCATATGATCCTTGTGACCTCAGGTAACTTTGGGCATAAAAAGATGTGTACTTAGGAAAAGGCTGGTGTAGCCAGAACAGAACAGATTACTTCTGGAGGCCCCCACAAGCAGTTCACTGCCTGCCTCTCAGAGTGTTATGGGTACAGTCTGACGGTTTGTACTTTATTCAGGCCCTGTATCACATACCTTTTAAATACGTGCACAGCATTTGAGTGACATAGGAGGAGGAGTCAGAGGAATTCATTGAGACAATATTTTTCTATGCCAGAAGCAGGTCTAAGAACAAGATGTCTCTAAGGGTGACTAGGGGATCCTTGCAACAAAGGGGAAACACACAGTAGGGCAGACTACAAAGATTCTTAGTTCTGTAAGCACAGGGGTGCGTGGAAAGAATGGCCAGTGGTGTTGAAAAACTCAGTGTAGTTTTGGGTTGTTCATATCAACAGTCACTTCCCAGAAGATCCATAGGCACTGGATGTGAATAAGAAAAAGACACCCCATCCATCCTGGACTGTGAGGGTGGTGCCATGGTGAAGGATGCAAGTAGTGCATTTGTTCACAAGAAAAAAACAGATGGAGAAAGGATACATCAGGGTGTAATTTCTCCTGTTCCAATCTCTGAATCATAAGTCCTTATCTCTTTTTTCTGAAGTTGATGAACTACTCTAAAACTGCAAAAAATTTTTATGCTATTTTGACTTTTTAAAATGGAGACATGGTGACCATATTCAATTCTAGAACTGATGAACGGTGGGATATTCAAGGGTTTCTAGAAAGGAGGTTCACTGTTATAATCCAGTCCTCTTTCCTCCTGATTTTCTCCCACCCAGCAACCTGAGTGCAAATCCTTTTCATAGGCCCAAATTCCCCTCCCCCTCCCGTTTGCCTCTATGAGGATGCTCCCCCACCCACTCACTCACTCCCCACCACTCCAGCATCCCCCTATACTGGGGCATTAAACCTCCACAAGATCAAAGACCTCCCCTCCCATTGATGTCAAACAAGGCCATCCTCTGCTACATATGTAGCTAGAGCCGTGGATCCCACCAACTCTTTGGTTGGTGGTCTAGTCCCTGGGAGCAGTGGGTGGTCTGGCCAGCCAACATTGCTCTTCCTATGGGGTCGCAACCCCCCTCTGCTCCTTCAGTCCTTCCCCTAGCTCCCACACCTGGGTCCCAGAGCTCAGTCTGCCAGATAGATAGATAGATAGATAGATAGATAGATAGATAGATAGATAGATAGAAGGATAGGCTCCAAGCATCTGCATCTGCATTGGTCACGTGCTGGCAGAGCTTCCCAGGGAACAGCCACACCAGGTTCCTGTCATCAAATGCCTCTTGGCAACAGCAATGGTGTCAGTGTTTGGTGTCTGTAGACAGGATGGATTCCCAGGTGGGGCAGTCCCCTTCCTTCAGTCTCTGCTCCATTTTTTTGCCCCGTCTTTCTTTTGGACAGGAACATTTAAAGAAACTTCAGTTTTAAAGGGATATAGGAAAAGATAATCCTTTGAAAATGAATATTTTCTCCATATAAGAGAGTGAAGTCAGTTTATGGTTGATGAGTTCAAAGAAAAAAAAATCAAAGGATGCTCACAGAAGCATATCCCAGGGCAGGGCAGGAGATTTGAAGTCAGTTATGCATCTACATTTTGCATATATAGGATATGAAATATAGAATATGATTTTTATTAATGGAGTCCTGTTTGTCTTAGTCATCTCTTATTTGTGCTTTGGAGAATCTGGTTTTGTAAGAGACTGTGCTCTTTAGAAATCTTGCTAGTTCTAAAAGCTAAGAGACTTGGGGCTGAGGGGATGGAAGAAAGGATAATGTACTTGCTGCTCAAATGTGAAAACCAGAGTTCAAATCCCCAGTACCCACATAAGGGCTGGGCAGGCATAGCAATCATGTTAATTTGCTTCCTATCACTTTTATCAAGATTATAACCAAAAGCAATTTGGAGAGGAAAAGATTTATTTGGTTTTGTTTCAAAACAAAACAAAACACCTTAACCAGCACATGTCCCGTTTGTAATCCCATCCTTCTGAAAGTAGAGACAGAGTTCTCTCTGAGCCCAAATGAAAGACTCAATATATAAGGTGGAGGGTGGTTAAGGAGGATACCTGACATCAATTTCTGACCTTCACATACAAATGCATGCAAAACTACACACACACGCACACACACACACACACACACAGACAGAGAGAGAGAGAGAGAGAGAGAGAGAGAGAGTGAGAGAGAGAGAGAGAGAGAGCACATGAGCTTGCTTTACAAACTATAATTCCCTATAAACACAAAAATAATATGGTTATTTTATTCTACTAAAATCTCTGTATTCAAAAACGCAAGCCAGATAAATGATTTTAATTCACAATTTCACTCCTTGTAAAAACCATCAGTAAACTCTTTGGCTGAAAACATGGTGAGAAGTTCTGTATCTGATCCACCTGTTGAGGGAAAACAGCCCAGGGAGGGCTCAGCTTTCTTTTCAGTCTTGCATTTTGTTAGGGGTGTCTTTGATTGCTTCTCCTTGTTAGAATCTGAGAGATCTTGAGAGAGTGCCACAGAGCAATGTGTCTAAAAACCCAGAAGTGTGAACACAGATGATCACCATTTATATATTAGCTTACATATTACCAGGAAGTATATAGTTAGAGGTCTCTTCATTAGTTTTGTGATGGCGTCATGATTTAA